CTGGTGATAAACAATAGAAATGATCCAACATTAAAAATAACTCTAAAGGAAAAAAAAAAAAAATCAGAAACAACTTTGAAACAAAGGAAGGGTGGAGCAAGCAACCCTTTTGGAGAGATTTATACTCTGCTTTGTGCTGCTTATTGAACCCTGAAATGCCAGTGAAGGTTGCATCAGAAATCTGTAAACCATATGCCTATAGCTATTATGTACAGTGTTGTAAGCATTATACAAATTAGTGAGCCTCTTACAAATTTTTTGGATGCTGTAATTAGATTTGGAGTGATTTATCTTTTTGTCATTGTTTCAGCATATGACATGACATGAAAAGAGGAGGGTTTGTTGCAAACAGCATTTTAACCACAAAAAGTTATTTTGCAGAAGAAAATGTACTTCCAAGATTTAATTCAATACTGAGTGTTACACAAATCATGTGAAAAACAGTCTTGCTGTGGTAACAGCAGAATTAAGCACAGGTGGCCGAAGACTCTTGGACTGAATTTTGAATTTCTGGTATGTACTGCTGCTTTGCAGTTATGTTGGTAGCAATGCAACTAAATGCTTTCCTGTAAGCTTTAAATGGCATCAGCAAAACCGCATATAACCTGATTCTTCTTTTTAATGCAGAAAGTCTGTAGGATCCGGGTCTTACAAGTAAACAGTTCAGAGCATATAATAATCCAACTTTTCACTAGCCTCCCTCCCTTCTGTCTTACTCCTTACAACAGATCTGAACAACACATACTTTCTCAAAAAGACTTCTGTGTGATTGGCAGGCCTGGTAGGAACTTCTGTCAGATGCTATTGTCGAGTGTGACCAGCAGGTGGAAGGAGGTGATCCTGCCCCTCTACCCTGCTCTCATGAGACCCCACCCACAGTACTCTGTCCAGCTCGAGTCCCCAGCACAAGAGGGATGTGGACCTGTTAGAATGAGTCCCAAGGAGGTTCACAAAGATGCTCAGAGAGCTGGAGCACCTCTCCTATGGAGACAGGCTGAGAGCTGTGCTTATTCAGCCTCGAGAAGACAAGGCTCCAGGGACACCTTAGAGCAGCTTCCAGTACCTAAAGGGGCCTATAAAAAACCTGGAGATGGACTTTTTACAAGGACATGTAGGGACAGGACAAGGGGCAATGTCTTTAAACTGTCAGAGGGGAGATTTAGATTAGAAATTAGGATGAAATTCTTCACTATGAGGGTGGTGGGGCCCTGGCACAGGGTGCCCAGAGAACCTGTGACTGCCCCATCCTTAGCAGTGACCAAGGCCAGGTTGGATGGGAGCAACCTGGTTTAATGGAAGGTGTCCCTGCCCATGGCAGCGGGTTGGACTAGGTGAACTTTGGAGGTCCCTTCCAACCCAAACTATTCTATTATTCTAAAACATCAGCTCTAGACTAAAAGTGTTTAGTAGGAGTAGGACTGATGACTCCAGAAAATCCATCAAATCAGCTAGCTAGAGTGACCTTCAAGGAAACTCAGGAGGAGGTGTTTGCACAGACAGTGCATGTGGCCTTGTGTAGTCTACAGGAAAAAGAGACATTTCATTACTGACATATAACAGCTCATCTTCTTCCCACTGATAAGATAGCAACAGCCATTGTCTTTGTGATCTTTGTCATTCTTTCTAGCACTCTCTATCCAAAATAAGGGTAGAAGTGTGCTGAGAGTTAGTCAGTCTGTGTGGGTACACACCTGGAAACTGCAATGTTCTCTGAATGGGTCAGTAGCAGGGCTGAGGAAAAAACCAGGAGCCCTAGATGTGCATGTACAGTTATATCTGCATTAAGAATTATTCAGACTTTAAGAGAAAATTAATTAACCTGCATTACTCTATGGCAGAGTTTTTAAGAAATAGAAACAAGATTATGTCCAAAAAGCATGTGCTTCTTTTTTTCTCACTCTTACAGCACCCTCAGGATTTTTAATGGCATGTGTAAGTCCCAAACAAGATTGAAAAAGGTGCACTGGAGGTTGAACAGGAAAGAACTGAAATCAGCCCCAGTTTCAGAGGATAAAAGGTGTTCTTCTGATGGGGAAGCTGGAAGAAAAGAATCTGAGAGTAGTATGAATTCTGGACCATGAGAAAGGGTCTTCCACGGAGGAACTTGGTGTTCCAAGGGGAGCCTGTGGACTACATCTTCCAACCTCCTTAAGGACCTAGATGAGGCTGGGTTCAGTGGTGTAATTTGTAATAAAATGCAGGTAAAGAGAGTTTATGCTTCTACTGAGGGCAACAATGAGACCATTTCTCATACATGCTAGGAGCTGGCTAGATACAGCTCTATTTTCAGTGCTATACCCCGGGCTGGGCTTACTGGCTGTGGGATGTAAGTGAGGTCTGGCAAACTCCCTCCTGGATGGGTGAGAACTCACCAGATGAAGTGCTCATGAGGGAGATGACTCATGCTGCCTCATTCCTTCACTATTACGCAACTTGCTTTTTTTTTCAGAGTAAGGTTTTCTTCCACATTCTTTCTGTGACTCTTTTTTTCCTCTTTCAGTCAAAGCGCCTGCCTTTGTCATGATTTCACCCTGAAACGGGCAGGGAATTCAGTAACAACCTGGCAGGGTGTCAGAGGTCCACTTTCTCAAGGGGAACAGGAAAAGGTAATAATGGTTTGAGGAACTGGAAAACAAATATGTCCTATGTAGACTACAATTGTTTCATCTATGTGAATAAAAACAATGAGCTGTGAGCCCTGAGGAAGCAGTGTGTGGCTCCAGCAGGACTCAAAATAGCCCAGGAGAGAATTTCCTCATTTTGAGCCACAGAGCAGAGGAGGAAGAGGAGGAGGAGAAGAAAGAAAAGGAGGAGGAGAAAAAGGAGGAAAAGGAGGAGAAGAAGGAGGTGGGCTGCCAGCCCCCAGTGGCACCACTGCCCCAGGTGTTCACTGAAAGCCACCTCAGGGAGGCAGGATTGTTACCATTATCAAGCCAAGGAGTTCATCTGGAGTTAACTGAGACCGATGAGACTATAAGTGCCAATTCTGGCTCCTGCTGGTGTGGTGATTTCAATTCTCCTTCATTGGTAAGAATGACCAAAAGTATGTGCAGGAAGGTTACTGTAAATGTCGTGTCATGGCTCATGTCTCTGGAGCTGGACTGAGAATCATACAATCATAGAATCACAGACTGGTTTGGTTTGGAAGGGTACCTTAAAGACCCATCTAGTTCCAGCCCCCTGCCATGGGCAGGGTCACCTTCCACTAGACCAGGTTGCTCCAAGCCCCATCCAACCTGGCCTTGAACACTGCCACGGATGGGGCAGCCACAGCTGCTCTGGGCACCCTGTGCCAGGGCCTCACCACCCCCACAGGGAAGAATTTCTTCCCAATATCCAATCTAAATCTCCCTTCTGTCAGTTTAAAGCCATTCCCCCTTGTCCTGTCACTACAAAAAAGGAGAGAGGCTGCCCAGGGCTGACACTGCAGCTCTTCAGCATGGGTGACATCCCCCTGACTTAACTATAGTGAGATCTGCTGTGTTAGAGATCCTCCTCCCCAGATTGCTCTGGAGTTTACTAATCTTTCCTTTCATTATTCATGGAAAGACGTTCTGGCACAGTACTGACAAGTTATTGATGGATACCTTCTACTAGGGTTAAATAGGCATAAATTGCTATCCTAAAATTGGGTAGAAAGGAAGCGTATTTCTTTGCTGGCAGTGAAGCAGCTAAGCTATAGTAGAAAGGATGAGACAACTGTGTGAAAATGGGGAAATGAACTTTTTGTAGCCATCAAATTAGTCTTACTGTAACATATTTTACATATGCATTAGAATAATATAGGCAAATGCATCCTAGGTTTTCATGAAGCTTATTAGAAAATGGTGGGTTCCCTTCAGTGTTTCAGTCCCACAGGGTACCTGCCTGCACTCCCAGGGAGGTGCTTGCTTATGTTATTGCTTTCTGCCCTCCTAGGTTCCCGTAGGAGCACGATGGAGTCTAACGAGAGTAAATATTGTTGTAGAGTAACGGAAAGGCTCTGCTGCATGAATTTGAGGTGGATGCTTAACAAGCATTAAAGCTGTGAATTATGTAGCTCATTCTATGAGTGCTTGTTCATCATTACCCTGTTCCCAGCTAGCTTGACACGAGTTACAGAAAAATAGATTAAAAAAATGAATCTTGAGAATGGCAAAACCTTTTCCTGTGACTCTTTTTCACTCTTTTTCACACCTGCTCTTCCTGTAAAGCCAAGTGTCTTACTTGTTTTGAATATAGGGGTCAAAGATCACTTAAAGAAATATCTGATTATTACTTATCTGTCCATAAACCTTGTAGGTAGAGTCTTGCCTGAGACCTTTTGGTATCAAAGCTGAGATTTTCAGCTTCCCACTCAGTGATATGAAATTTCAGATTCTACCAGCAGCAAATATAGACGATTTATATATGTGCAGAAAGCTTGTCATTCATACATTAATAGGTCTTATTCCTACAGGCCCTTTCAGCAGCATAATTTGGAGGGGAAATATCACACCATAAGAAAGGAGGAGGGATGTACCCTTCAGAAGTTAATTATGTTTAATGTTATCTTCTGAAAACTGCTCAGGTACCATTTAGAGTCAAAGAGGCTCACCGGTCTGTAGTCTGGGACTGATCTGTGTAGGCTCACTATGAATCATGCTTCATTCTACAAAAGCTTCAGCTTTACACTGAACTGTGCAGTGCTTTAACAGCATGCAAGACCAGAACCCAGCAATTGGGACTACCAGTGCAGGAAAGGGAAGAAAAAAAGTAAATAGATAATGCAAATTAATTCCAGAGTGTAAAGGCAGGCTCCTTGAGATGGTTGCAATAGAGTAACATGAAATGCCTCCTCAGTGGGTTGATGTCTCTGGCTGATGTCTATGGATCTGGTGCTGCCAATACCAAGAGATGGCATCGTAATAAAAAACATGGTGTGTCTCTCTGCCCACAGCTAAAAGATTGAAACAGAGTTAGGTCCATTTCCATTTAAGTACAAGGAAATCCCCTTCCATTTGCCTTATGAAATATCGAACTTAGTCACCAGGCAAGAGTAGACTCCGTGGCAAAATCAAGACAGAAAATTTTTCAGTACAGCCACACATTTTCTGAAAGAGGCTCCTCTAGCTAATTCTGCTAAGGATTTAAACTGTGATTGCAAATAGAAGGAGACAGCAGGCAAGTGTTGCCTATTCCCTTAAGACTGCATGGAAAAGAACAATTACTACTGTACTGACCTAGTTGGTCTTATTTTAAATTGAGGTTTATTATTCTGAATAGTAAGTTAATTTACTAAATACAAATTAGAGAAAAAAGACATCAGCCTGAATCAACCTCAATCAACCCAATCTCAAAAACATGGATTACTTTACTCCAAATGAAAGGCTATCTATTTTACATCCACAACTTCGTAATGACAGATTTAGCAGAGTTATGAATTAGGTATAAAGCTATGATTTGGATATGAATGCTTGTATCTAGTGGATGTTGCCTTTGCATGTTGTAGGAATAAAGTTTGCATTTTTGGTCTGAGTTCAGATGCAGGATTCTTCATTTTTGCATCATGTTTCTGAAGCTATTCAAGGGTGGCTTAAGCAACCTGGTAACTGGCCCAAAGGCTTTGACTAACTTAAAACCTAAACAAAACCCTGGACTAGCTAATACCTCATTTTCCATCTTGTTTTTGTTATTCCAGACAAAACCCCATTGCCCTCACAAACAAGGGAGACTTGGTCATTCCTCAGGCAAAAGGCTTCAAACGGGAGCTGAGGTACCTCAGGCAGTGCAGAACACTTGGAGTCAGTGCTACACCCTCTGCTGGCTGTGGCATTGAAGGGGACTGTGCTGCTGCTTCACTTCTCCCAGGAAATATGAAAAGGAATATCAAGGCTACTGGCACCTATAAAGATTCCAGAAACGCGAAAGGTTTGCTATAGCATCTTTGCTGAACCTCAGTAGGCGCATTTGCATTGCACTAATCCCAGTTCCTCTATTTAAATAAGTCAGATTTTTGTTCCACATGCTTGCAAAACTGTGGATTGAGATAATACACAGTATGCAAATATTAAGTCATTACTAAGCCAAACATAAACATTATTTCTGTTGACTGTATATTTTTAAGTGTAGGCAGAAGTCTCATTTGAAAGTCTTTCTTTGTTTCATTTTTCTTACAGGGACGCTTATATGTGTACGAATGCTTCATGTTACATGTTAAGTTATACTGTGACCTGTAATAATGGTCATGTAATCATTGCTATTTATTATCATACCAAATTCAAACTAAATTTAAAAGCCAAGTCTGTCTGTAAAATTTACTGGAAGCTCCCAGATTTTGGCCCAAATTTCCACTCTCCAGTGTTTTCAGTCTTCTTGTATTTTCCAGGTCGTCTGCTCTATGGAGAAAGAAGACATAGCCATCTGGGAGATTAGCATATATATTTTATGAAGCAGAGTAGAGCTCTGTCTTTTACTGACTCAGATGCTAAAGACCCAGATTCGCAGCCTGACTGCTAGCTAGCAAAGCACAGTTCAAAAAGCTTCTGTTGCCAGTGGCTTACCTGTCTCCCCTGCATGAAGAACAAACCTTCAATGAAGTGATATTGGTAAAATAGTACTGTTCTTAAGTGGGAAAAACCAAACAATCCAGCTTTACAGCCATGAAGAGAGGCAATTTCTAATGACAGAAGAACCCATTTGTCATAAAGTTTACATTGTTTGAGTAGAGATTACCAGTAAATGATCAAACAAATCTGTCTACTGGCATGAGATAACTCTCCAGAGTGGTGTATATGGTTATATCAGTGAATATAATCATGGAACACAGCTGAGATATATCTGAAATGTATGAAAGCCACATGAGAGCATTAGTGCTAGGTTAATTTAAGTTAGAATATAAATTACCATGGGATGTGAAAGGAGCTGCATTAAGCAGGTGTGCCAAGAAGCATCTCCTTTATCTTTTATTCTTTCTTACTGTGCTGATAGAAATGTACTTTCACTGCAGCTGTAATCGGAAGTACAGTGGTTTTCCAGTACTGCAGTGTAGTTGGACTGTGTTGGTACTTCTGGTACTTTCTCTTCTTTCTGAATATTCCTCTTCCCCCTCTAAAGAGCACAGAGACCAGGAGCCTGGAGTGCCAACATTTAAGTAGCCAGTGTAGATTTATAACTATGGATGGGCACAGTGCTAACATGTTGTTACAGAACTGCGAAGTCCAGTAAGAGAGAGGAAAGGCATCCATTGAAAAAGAGAGCACTGGTTCAGAAGGATGCATAAACATCTAGAAGAGACAGAGCAAAACTGAGATGATTGCCCTAAATTTATATGAACAATGGAACTGAATAAGCAGCATATTTTCCATTGCTTGTTAAAACAAGGCCTGGGGATAGACTGGCCTTTTTGTTTACCCTCCAATAATTTGTTGTTGGGTTTTGGGTTTTGGTTTTCGTTTTTTTTTTTTTGTTGTTGTTGTGTTTTTTTGGTTTGTTTTTTTTTTTTTAATGCAGATGCATAAATGAGCCTGAATTAAAATCCTTGTTCTAAGGGTCCCAGTTTATAGGAAGTCTGAACTTCATTCAGATTATCACCTGCATTTTGCAGAATGGACTCTCCTTTTTAAACATTTTATAACAAAATCTATATCCAAACTTTAGGAAGCAATAAGTGTGCATTCAGACACAGACTTTGAGAACTGGATCTGTTATATTTATAATCTAATTCCCATTATTCACATCTGCTGAATAATGATGGGAAAATATGCAGACTTATTAGAAAATATACAAGGAAGAAACATTCAGTGTAGCATTTAGGCTGTATGTTCACCAGAAAGGTGTGCACCACTTCAAATATCTTTATGTATCTTGCAAACACTGAAATGTTGTCTTTCACAGACCATGTGCAGACAGTCTTTAGTGTTCTGTTCTTCTGCCCTTTCCCAGTTACTGAAATACTAACTTAACATTTACTGACTCTTCTATTTACCTTGATCCTAAGAACAGCCTTCCCAATCTGGTTAAAGCTTTTCATTCAGAAACCAGTCTCCGAGATTGCTGGTAAAAGATGCCAAAAGAAGTTTGTGAGAACGGGAAAATCCTATCCTGGCTTTTCAGAGGATTTCCCAGGTGCAGGCACTGGCTGCTCTGGGCATTCTGAGCCAGTCACACCGTCTCTGTGGAAACAAACGCATCATATGTTAAAAAAAAAAAGGGAAGGAAAAAAACCCAAGCAAGACGTGTTTGAGAAGCAAAGCTGGCTGAGTACTTCAGTATCAACGCGTTCCACCAGATGGCAGGGTTCTGTCTCGGCAGGTCACTACAACAGCCAGCCCGAGCCTCTGCAGGAGTAATTTTTCTCCTATCATAGTTTTCACCATCGGCAATACAACTCTTTGCTTTAAACCTGTCAGTGCTCTACAGCATGATCAAAATAAGTGTCAAACAGATGAAAGGCACGAGGCCTCTATTTTGTTATGTCTCACTCAAATTTTTATACAACTTTAAAGGCACAGTATTTGCATATAGAGTAGTAATTCCCCATTGTGTGAAATAAGAAAATATTTTTTTTCCCCTAAATAAAATTGTACAGAAAAGTAAGTGACTGTTGCTGGAAGAGCCAGGTCTGCTGTCCCTTTCCGTGTCCTGTCCTGCTTCCTTATGTGGTGCTGGCTTCAACAACTGTGCCTACAGTCCTAACGCAAATCAGATCAAACTAAGAGCTGATAGAGAACTCGCTGCTTTAACTTGGCGGCTTAGTTTCCAGTTAGATAAATGAGCTGGAGTGACTCTACAGCCATGCAGTCATGTCTGCTGCAATCTGGAAAGCAGGTCAAGCATGTGACACGGGGCAGGAAAGTCCCTTTCAGCAGCAGAGTAATATTGGATAAGCTTACACTAATTGTGAAAACACATCCTTAAGTAACAAAAGAGTAGTGAAGAGGATGCATCCTCAGTTCTGCCCTTACTAGAGAGGGGATACGGAGATACAGGAGAAAATCTAAAGCTCATTTCTTAGGTTCAGTTAAAAGCTAGTGCTGCAGCATGCCTACGTCTTGCATGTGTCACATTGAAATGCCAGTTCCAACCTCAACTACATGTATTTTGCTCTTTATTTGGAAAATAAGAATATTAATATACCAGCTCTTTCCAGAAAAGGTATTTTTGGGTTTCTATCAGAGATAAAGGCTGTGAAGTCTGGGGGAAAAAAAAAAAAAAAGACTTACTAACAATTTCAGTTCGCTGCAGAATTCTCTCCAATACTCAGTATTAAGTTTCAGCTGAGTGGAGGTGTTTCCCCCCCATAAAAACCAGACAAGCAAATTAAAATGTTTCACAAACAACAAAAAGGATTTTGAATGACTTCTTAAACTCAGAGCACACTAGTCTTTAAATCTTCATCTCTCTTTTTAAAGCCTAAATCCTGGTGCTTCCAAAGTGCATTAGCACAGTGCTAATACAAGGATAGATAGACACAGAGCCTCACTGCACAGATCTTAAGGACTAGCAGCAGTTACTCTGTACTTAACATAAAACAAACACCAGGGAATGGAGAATTTTTTTAAAAAACTCCTTTTGCAGATAACTGGGTAACTCCATTTTTAATGTGCTAAAGAAAAACTAAGCCAAATATTTTATGTAAGTGGGAAGACATCATGTGTGGCCAGGGTACCTGGGATTCTCATTTTGACAGAGGGGAGATTTAGATGAGATCTGAGGAAGAAGTTCTTCACTGTGACGGTGGTGAGGCCCTGGCACAGGGTGCCCAGAGCAGCTGTGGCTGCCCCATCCCTGGCAGCGTTCAAGGCCAGGCTGGATGGGGCCTGGAGCAACCTGGTCTAGTGGAAGGTGACCCTGCCCATGGCAGGCGGTTGAAGCATTAAGGCCCTTTCAAACCCAAACTGTTCTGTGAATCTGTAATTCAGCATTAGTTGGCTTCATTACCATGAAGCACAAATAGAGACTTTTTAATTCCTGTTTTGTTATTGAAAAATGAATGAGGATTGTAAAAACTGGAGCTAAATAGTAAGAAAATCTCCTTTTGGTATCACTAAGTACGAGCAGGTTCTATTCACACCCACACCACCTGGTCTCCATAAGCTGTAAACACGCTGCAGCAAGTCACTTGTGCTGTCAGGAGCAAGCAGAACGCGGAACACGCTCTGGTGTGTACCCCACCGGCAGCGCCCGGCGGGCCAGCGCCGTGTTCACCGCCTGCAAACCTCACCCACACCTGCGCTTCCGACGCGGGACAACGCGCGGTAACAAAACAAAGACTTTGCCGACCCCAGCCCCCGTTCCATCCGGCTGAACCGCAGCTATGCCGGTCTCTCGGCGTGCAGCAGAACCGCGGCGATGGCCCGGGAGGGGCGGGCGCAGGGCCGCGGCAAAGCAGCGGACTGTCCCGGTAAGGCTGGGCTGGGCTGGGCCGAGCTGGGCTGGGCCGGGCTGGGGCGGGCTGGGATGGGCCGGGCCGCGCCGGGCCGGGCCGAAGAGCGCGGCGGGTCGGGGGCAATACCCTCCCCTCCCGCTGCCCACCCCCACGGAATCCCGCCCACCCTCGACCCTCTCCCGTGTCATGCCCCTTTCCTCAGCCAATGAGAAGCGGCGCGGAAGGGGGAGCTTGGGGCGGTGACTGACACGAGTCCAATGGGAAGCGCAAGCTGACCGAGCGGTGACCAATGGGGGACGACACCGGTGAGTGCGAGACTGAGAGGCGAGCTGCTGGGCGGGACGGGGGCGCGGCCGAGAGCACTCAATCAGGTGAGGGCGGTGTTGACGGGCGGTAGCGGAGGCCAATGGCGACGAGGAGGCGGAGCCCTGCCCTTCCCTCCCGCCGCCGAAGCTGCCAGAGAGTCAGGTGGCTCCGGGATGCGCGGCCGCGGCGGCAGGCGGAGGCGGCGAGGGGGGAGGCCCGGCGGCGGCTCGGCGGCACGCGCTGCCTGCCCTCGCCTCTTCCCGCGCCGGGCTGAGGCGGCCCCGCACCGGGCGCTGACCACCCCCCCAGGCGCTGGGCCGCATGAACAATAGGCGGCGGTACCGGCTCCGCCGCCCCCCGCACTGCCCGGCAGCCGCGGGCGCCTCCCCCTATGGAGCAGCCTCGCCATGGAGCCCCTCACAGAGCTCAGCCAGGAGGGCGCGGGCGGCGGGGAGCCGCCGGGCGACGGGCCGCTCTGGACCGCCGTCTTCGAGTACGAGGCGTGCGGCGAGGACGAGCTGAGCCTGCGGCCGGGGGACGTGGTGCAGGTGCTGTCCAGGGACTCGCACGTGTCCGGTGACGAGGGCTGGTGGACGGGCAAGATCGACCAGCGCGTCGGCATCTTCCCCAGCAACTACGTGAGCAGCGGCGTGCAGGGGGGCGGCCCGGAGCTGCGGGCCCGATACCCGCCGCCCCCCGCTATACAGCGTAAGGCGGCCTGCGCCCGGGGCGGGGGGGCTCGGCGTGGCCCCTCGCCGTTTCCCGGTGGGAAGGAGAGGGGAGGAGACCAGGTCCCGGCACTCCGGGAGACCCGGGGGGGCGGGACCGGGCCGGGTCGGCGGGAGCCGGACCTGATGGGATGGGGTGGGAGGAGAGCCCCGACCCTCCTGAGCTCCTTGACGGCAGCCGGGACCGCCGCTAATGGGGGGGGAGGAGCAGCCCGGTGGGGAGCGGCCGCGGCGAGGCGATGGGGTAGGGTACAGCGGGCACCGCGGTGGGCCTTGCCGTGGGAGCGGAGGGGGGATGCGGCGGCTCGGCCCTTCCCACTCTGGTGGTCCGGTCCTTTCCCTTTCCCACCCGCAGCCGCATTTCTGCTGCTCCAGTGCCCTTCTGCCTTCAGGGCCGGCTTTCCTTTCTGACCCTCGCTCAGGCGTTAGCGTTTCGCTGGCGCCGGGAGCAGTTTCCCATTGTTAAGTGCTGTGTTTGCAGGGACAGAGAAATCTTCACCAAGTGGAAGAAGCTTGGCGGCTGAGCAGTGTGGGGGGGGGTGGGGGGGTGGTGGTGTCACCGGGGGCTCTGCTGACACCCCGTTAGGAATAATATTCTCAAAAAGAGGTTGCTGTGTAAGTAGGAAGCCACTGCTTTATGCAGTGTTGTTTCACTGCTAATGCTTGTTCAGTATCTTCCTCTCTCCTAACCAAAAGCTCATTATTTCTGACTTAAAAATTCCTTACTTGGCTTGTGTTACCAGGTTCCTCCCTAGTCCTTTGCTATCTTAGTAGTTCTTTATAAATACTGTGAATGGGTTTTATCCAAGTTTGGATATCTGGGCCTACCTGAGGGTTGCTTGGTTAAGTTGTGATACTGAAGGCACAAAGGGATCGGTTTGTTTCTGTGAACTTCGGTGCAGTTTTGAAGCCTTTGTTGGAGACAGAGAATAGGGACGTTTCATCTCTACATTTGTTTTAGCCACTATGGACAATTGTGGAAAGAGAAACAGTGTGGAATGACTGTTTCTAGATCCTGTTTATCTCTATTGACAATTCAGGCAAGAGTAAAGCCTATTTTGGAGGGGCAGAGAAAAATCTTCAGACTAGTAGGCTTTTCTAGAAAGGAAAAGGAGTAAAAAGATGCTTTATCCTATCTAGGACATATCTCCAAGGAATACAACTAATAGCTTTTGTCTTACTCTGTGTTCTGATTGAAAACATTTAGGTAAAACCTCAGCGGTTTATAGTATTGGCCTTTGGATTGTGCAGGGGCTAGGCTGGGCAGTGGTGGTGCTTGCATTCATGCTGTACTAGCATAGGTAAATTATTCCTCCCCCCATGCACTGTGAATGCTCATTAGGTTTTGCCTTTGAGATAGTTAGGAGAACCATTTCTACAGAAATTCCTGAAGCCTCAGCTCCCCTCCTGTTTTGGCTGTTAGGTGCAGGCTTTGGATTCTCCTGCCTTACTGCACTTGCTATGGTTCGGTAGTTCAGGAACAGTTGTCAAGTTGCATTTTCCCATTTTATTCTTATCTTACCCTTTTAGTGGCACAGCAGGACGAGGCTACTTCTGTTAACTCATCAACCATATGTTCATGACGGTAGAATTTATTGCTCCTCAGTAAGTTTTTAGTATGCCAAAGTAGTTGCTTTTAAGAAACAATGCAATTTGGACAGGGGATAAAGCTGGTTGGATTGAAGTTTGATGTTAAAAAACCCTTTGCAAGGAATGATACCTACTCTTAGAGCTGGTGATGTTAGTTTGATAGTTGTTGGATTAACAAGCTTATTGTCTGTTATCTTACTGGGCTCTGAAGAACTGAAGTTTTGCAGGAGTTAAGCAAGGTGTCATTCCAGATTTGCACTGTGGCACAGGAGCTAATTTTAATTGCTTTCCTAAAGTTTATTTCATGTCTGCTGAAGGCTTTGGAGTGTAAGTCCTAGAGATTCTGTTCCCACTGAGAGCTGTAGTACTATAACTAATAATTGCATGCTGTCTTCCAGCCATTCACGTAGCGTGCTTGAATCTTAACCTCAGTGAGGGTACCGTGGATGATCAAAGTAGCCTCTTAAGGCTGTCAGTGGTGGGCCAGCTTGAATGACCCTCATCTGTGCTGTGGGCTCTTGCATGCTACAGATTGAATTAAATAGCTTAATTGTATGGTATAATAAATGCAGATTAAACAGCACCTACTTTGCACTTGCCAAGATGGCCACTGGCTCATGGTTTACAGGCTCTGTAATTCCTTGTCAGTCCTCAGAGGAATGATAGCACTTCCGTTCTTAAATTCTAAAGCAAAACATGCATATTAAACATTCCATTTCCCTTACAGTCCAGTAAGGCAGGTCTTCCAAATTAAAAAGGAGTTTAGAAAAGCGGTTAGGCTGTTTAGAAGGGTGGAGAAAAACAAGTATGTTATGCACTGATGTAGCTCTATAACTAGGAAGCTGAAAGAAAAAAAAAAACCCACAACCAAACCTGAAAAAAAACAATTCAGCACAGAGAGCCCTAAAAACCTTCTCCAAAAATGAAATAAAACTCTTGTAAGGATGAGGGGTTGTTTTCTGATTAAGCTACCCCTGAGGGTAAGCTGGCTGGTCTGCCTTAAAGAAACATGCATTTTCAAATTAAAGCTAAGGTCATAATTGCAGATAAAAGAAAACTTTCTTTGCAAAACTTGCAGTGTAACACGTTAAACTCCATCTGGAAGCAGTTTCACCTTCCAGATTTGCTCTAGTTAATTTGTGCACCCGGCAGGTGTGCTGTCC